TTTTCATTCTTTTCTTTTTATCTTATTCTTTCTGTTCTCTTTTCTTCATTAATTTCTTTTCGTCCCTTTCTTTTCTTTACTACATTCGTTTTTTTTTCTTTCTGACTTTTTTTTTTTTCTGTTTTATTTCATGTTTTTTTTATTTATTCCTTCTTTTTTTTCTTGTATTCTTTTTTTCTTTTGTCTTTTCTTTTTTTGTTTTCTTTGTCTTCCTCTTTTTTTATATTTTCTTTTTTTCATCTCCTTTTCTTTCATTCTTCTCTCTTTTATTTGTTTTTTCTTTTTTCTTTTGTTTTTCTCTTTATTTTTGTTCTCCCAATTTTTTTTATTCTTCCAATTTTCTTTTATTCTTTCTATTCTCTTTTGTTCTTTCTATTCTCTTTTGTTTTTTTTATTCTCTTTCGTTCTTCTCTTTATCTTCCTTGTTTCTTTTGTTTTTCCTTTTTTATGTCTTTTTATTTTTTTAGCCTTTATTCCCTTTGTTTAATTTATTTTATCGCTTTTCTTTTTATCTTCCCTTTTTTCTTTCTTTCTACTTCATTTTGTTTTTTTCATTTTATCTTTTTTTTTTTATCTTTGCTTTCTTTTGCTTTTTTTTTTGTTATTTTTTGTATTCATTTTTAGTTTTATTTTTCTCTTACCTTGAGCTAATGTTCTTTTTATTATTCTCTCTAGGTATAATTCGTTGTTACTGGAATTGTAGTTTTGAAGTTGTCATCGCTAGAATCATCGCCGGAGTCGTTGCTGGAATCGTTGCTGAAATCATCACTGGAGCTATCATTAGAGCTGTCATTAGAAGTTTTGTTAGAAGTTTTGTTAGAAGTTTCATTAGAGAATTCATTAGAAGTTTTATTTAATTGTTCGTTGGAATCTCTACTGGAACTTTCTTTAGATTTTTTGCCAAAATCTTCTATGAAATCTTCTAATGTGGAGTCATCATATTGGTGTTATCTTTAAACAATGATAGAGTGAGTAGGATTTTTTGAATAAATATAGCGGGTGGGTGGTAGG